TCATTAAATTCTCACTATAAAATTATAATTAAACATAAAAATTAAACAATTAATTGTTATAAGTACAAACTTAGCACACAAAACGTTTCCATTGAAGCTTTTATACAAAAACATGTAAACTCTAAAGCTTGAAATTAAACAAAATGAAAAACTGCAAATAAAAAGTTGCTGGACAAATATTCGAGAAATTATATTTAATCTCTCATAATTTACTAATTATATGCAAGGCAGTATATTGGAATACATATATACTTTTATATATTTTTTTCTTTTTTTTTTTAATTGTTGTGTTTGGACAAGCATAGCAAGTAACATAGTAACATTATTGAAGTTCTCTCTTACAGATGAAATCTTTTCGGACTGCTCAGAATAGAGTATTATTAAATAGTACTTATTTTTATTGAAGATAACCTGAAAAAAAAATTCAAATAATTTTATTGATGATTATAATATTATTGATGTTTGCAAACTATTTTTGTTGAGAATTTTTCAAGCATTTATAAAGCAATTAAAAACTGACAATTTGAATAATTATTTTTAAACTAAAAGTTTTTACTTGCTAAACTTGTCCAATCGCTTCTTTAGAATTGATTTTTGTAGATGTTTCTGTTTCATATTTGTTTCTATGCTACATTAAATAGTTTAGTTTAGTTTTTGTTTTTAATAGCTATTCAGTGTGTGTCTGTGGGTACGTGTTTATATGTGTGTGTGTGTGTATATTTGTATTAGTACCATTTATAAGATATATGACTTATATGTTAGTTCTTTGATTGCTTAACAATTGCTGCTAGACCAAAAACTACGCGCACAACAACAAAGAACCAAAGGAAAGCGCTGCTACAGATGCAGATACAAGTTGCAGATGCAGTTATTTAGTATATACATATGTATATACACAAATCAAATATAATGTGTTTGTGTGTGTGTGTGTGTTTGTGTTTGTGTGTGTATTGATTGCACATTCTAAACAGCATACAAAAATAGTTTAGCTAAGTTGGACACGTTGTCAATTTATATTCTTTAGTTTTCTTTAAATGTTATGCAAATTGTGTGTGACAGCAACAGCAGCAACTGTAGCAGCAGCAATAGCTGCAGCAGCAGCAACATCTTCAACAGCAACAACTACAACTGGCTATTGCACTCAAAGCGTTTCCAAGTTGTTGTCCAAGTCTTCTCTTTCAATGTCAGCCAATGTCAAGGCCTCAGCATCGCCTGCTGCTGTTGCTGGTGTTGTTGTTGCTGCTGCTGTCTCTTGCTGCACTTGCTGCATACTTGACACTGAGCATGTTTCTGTTTGTGTGTCAACGCGATTGCTGTCAGTTATTGTTGCTGCTGTCTGCAACTGCTGCTGCGGTTGCTGTTGATGCTGTTGCTGCTGTGGCTGCTGCTGCTCGCTTAGCCTACAATTACAAGTACAATTACAGCTATCACTAAATGTATGCGCATTAGTTGCATTTATTAAATAATTGTTGCGTCTACTACTATATAAAATATTGTTACTCGTATTTAACTGTAAACGAAAGGCATTGCTGCCACGACTGCTGTTGCTTCTCTTGCTGCTGCTGCTGCTGCTGTTGTTGTTGTTGCTTGTGGGATGATAAATGATTTCCTGACGTTCATATTCGTTGAAATAGTTCTCAACAATAATGCCGTCTGCTGCTGCTGCAGCTGCTGTTGCTGGCATCAGCGACTGTTGCTGATTGTTGTTGATGTTGCTCGCATGGCTGTTGCTGCTGCTGCTATTGTTGTTGTTGTTATTATTATTAAAATTTGCTGCACGTGGCACCACATCAGGCGGCGAGCTGCAGCGCTGTGAATTGTAGTATTGTAAGCGTTGATGTTGTTGCTGCTGTTGTAGCTGTTGTTGTTGATGATGTTGATATGGCTGTTCCAATTGCTGATTGTTTCTATGTTGCTGCTGTTGTTGTTGTTGCTGTTGCTGTTGTTGTTGCTGACACCGACCATTGGCCGGCGTCAGATATTGTCAGAAAATGCCATCCAAATTTAATACAACATTGAAATATCAGGATAACATGAGTCGCCCTCATAATGGCACCAGGCCGTTGCGCGTCGTTGGGTTGCGGGCCATATAGATGTCCATATCATGATCGGTCCAATTATCCGATGTATCGCAATAATTGTTTAATGTGTGCGTTGAGCCCGCTTGCGAATATCTATAGAATGGAGAGAAAGAGAGAGAGAGAGAGGGAGGGTGAGTGTGAGTTAGATGGTTTGCAAAACACAATTTACTCATCATATATACATATCTATATCTATATGTTTGTGGAAAGTTGTGGGCAATGCGGTTAATGACTTGATAAAGCCCAAACGAAAAGATTCGCCACGAAACGTATTGAATCGCATCGAAATGAAATACAATGGACGTAACAAACATTTACGGCAAAAGCAAAGCAAAGATTGCAACAATAATTATGAACTGAATTAACAGTTAGTTGTGTTCGATTATTAATTTATTGTTTGCTTGTCTGTGTAGGTGGGCGTTTCACGGGTCGTTAATTGAATGGGCATTCAATTCGAGCTGCTTGGGCTGGCTGAATAATGTCTTTGTTGTTAGCTATCAATTTTGAATTTATTTAGACATAATTTGGATAAATTATGGTATGATATGGTATATATGTATGTATTATTAATTTTTTTTCTATATCTATTACATTTTATGTACAAATTAAAGCATGACATCCCTAAACAAAGCAAACGAAATTGTGCAAGGCTTTTTGTTGGGGCTTTCACAGTGGAATTAATTTGATTACTCAGGTTAAGTATTTCAAGCAGTTTGTAAAAGTGAAGGCATACCCTTAACTTTACTAGTTACTGCTAATTTAATTTTCATGACTAGCTGTTGCTAATTGAATTACTTACAAAATCTATCTTTAAATAAGGGAAAACCCCAAATTAGCCCGAATACCCGAAATATGTTTGAGTTCTATATTTATATCATGGCGTACCCTTAATTGAAATAGCTATAATTTAAAGCTTTTGTGTTTCGAATGGACTACAACACTCTGAATACCACAACATAAACATCCATTTATGAAGACGAATCTTATATATTTGTTTCTTATCTGTTTCTTCAATCAGATTCAGTTCAGATTGTCTAAATTTCCTTTCCAAACTATAAAACTATTGTCTTTTGTCGATTTTATCAAAAATATGTCAACTCAATGAGTGATCTCAGATAAATCTCATCAAGATGATAAATGTAATATAATCCTATACAATAAATTTCTCTCCCTGGTGCGATTTATGTACATCGGTTTATATTAGCTTTATTTCTAGTTCACTTTCGCTGAGAGCTTAGTCATCAATAGGTTCCCAATGTTTCTCAAAAGATAATCAAACATGCCTAAACTATAAAAAGAATGCGAAGAATTACTTTAAGTGTGAGGGCGAAGCGCGTTTTTCATTAATAAAAAATTAATTTAATAGCACACATAAAAATAATCAGAGATAATAATAAAAACTTGAAACTTTCAAAAAGACAAACCAAAAATTGAAAGTGTGACGTTTGTAATTAGCGAAAATGTTGTTGACAGTTATCATAGATAGATATTTAGAGTATGTGTGTGTGTGTGTGAGTGTGTTTGTTGCACCTGAATTAGCGTCTATATATGTGTGTGTGTGGGTTTTTCGTTCTACTTACCGACTTCCCGGTCGATGGCTATGTATGTGCGTGTTGTTCAGTTGATCGCGTGATCTGGAACGCGGACGCGAACGTCTTGCATTGCTGGATGCAATGCTAGCGGGGCCGCCGGGCCCAACCAAACCGCTCATGCCCATCAGGCTGCCGCCAGCAACACCAACACCGCCGCCACCTGGCCCACCACCGCCGCCGCCGCCATGTATGGAGCCGGCGTAGGAGGCGCGTGACATGCGCTCCGAGGCAGCGGCCAAGGATTGACGGGATTGACGCAGCTCCGGGCGTGAATTGACCAGGTTGGTGGGAAAGGCTGTGCCCAAATAGCCGCGATGCGAATTGTTCGAGAAACTGTGCTGCGATTGCCCATCGGCTATGGATCTGCTGTTGTCGTTGTTGAGTGTGTGTGTGTGTGTGTGCATATGGCATGTATGTATATGTGTGGGTGTGTGTGTGTGTGTGTGTGGCATGGCAAGCAAACACATGAAATATGGAATAAAAAATAAAAAATAAACATTTATAAATAAAAAGAAAACATAAACAAATAAAAGTGCGACATTTGCAACGATTCAAGCTGAGCTTTATATGAATATAACATCAATATTTATTGCATATATATTTATAAATATTTATACATACCTTGACTTGGCCACCTTGCCCGGCATGCCAGAGAAATGGCTGCGCATATCGTCAGGCTGTTCAACGGGATAGATGCGTGGTCGCGGTATCGAGCGTCCACTGTACGCTGATACTTGATCCCATTCCTGATGTGAAAATTGAGTTTTTTTTAATATAAGTTAAATTTATTAATATTTTTGAGAATAGTTTATGAATATACAAATCTGAAGCGGTTAAATGTTTATAAATAATTTTAAAAAAATATATATATTTTTATACTCTACATAAGTTAATAATTATATGTATATTAAATGGGTATATGGATTTTTTTTTAGATTTAAAAAGTATTAAATTAAATAACATAAATGTTTTAGCATTCAATGAAATTCGCAAATTCCACAAATATTTTACTGCTCGATTATAAAACGAAAAATTGTTAGATAATATTTATTTGACTATAATTTTTTTAGTTCGCACTTGAATCTACACTTCAGCTAAATATTGTGTGCAAGCTTTATAACAGCTATAAAATAGCTATAAAAGAGCTGCTCAATAAATGATTTGTCGCTCTCTCGAAGCAGTGACATCGCTATATAAATTCAAATCCATTTTAAAGTCAACTAAATATTTTGCTGCCAACTAACGGCAAAAAATAGTCCGAAAAAGATAGCCAGCCTGACCTGTTTTTTTATTTTTATTTATTATTTGTTTTCTTTTTTATTTTCTGCACAGCCTCCGTTTAATTTGTTGAACCATAAATAAAATGGGGAAAAAATTGTTGGCTTCAATTGCGGCCATTTCCGAGTCAGAGGCCAATTTAACAACAGCCCAAGGCTCAACTGTCTGTACTCTTGGTGCTTGCTCGATAGAAGGCTGCGAGAGTATATTGGTTTTGCTAGGCAAAGTGTGAGGCTTTCCATGAGATGTTGTATGATTGTGGGAGTAGGCATTTTTAATATGTAGCTTTATAGACCTCAGGCAGCCGAATATTTTATGTTTCTCCCCTTTATGGGGCCTATATTGAATTACTGCAAATCACTGCAAATTTGTGTTCAGATCAAGTGTGATTCGAAATTTTTTTTATTCTGAAATTTTCTAGTTGGTAAAGGGCAATTATTATTAKTATTATTATTTTTTTTTTAAACAAATATTTTTTACACTACTCGCATGTATAGGTAATAAAAACTTATATAAAATATTCATCAATAACTTATAGATCACTTAGAAATCAGTTGAAATAAAGTTACTGGATATATTATTATGCTTGAGAGAAGAAATTGTGAAAAGAAAAATCTTGTTGTTCGTTATTTAATGATCTTTGGAACAAATCGATTTTTCAACAATTGCATCACATTTGTACATTTATATGTAGTTTAATATTTGTCTATAAAGGGTATCGATTTTTATCGATAAACAAATATGCACTAACTTTCTTAGCCTATAGCTAAAGCTCTAGCTAAATATTTCCAAATATAAAAAAGTTTTCCAATATATTGGAACTTGTATATAGTTTTTTCAATCATCTCTTCTCTTTTCATTCTCAAACAAAACATCTTTCTAATGGGAAAATTGAACTCTTTTTGCTCGCTCCTTGACTCTTTGCATACTTTGGGCGAGCATTGCTTAGTCGTTGCTCACCGAACAGCTTTTTGATTTTGTGTTTTGTTTTTATGGGCAATTGGCAACTAAACTCACCTTGTGATTGTTAAATGCCGATAGAGTGGCAATGGAGCCAAGTGGTCCTGGCGAGCCGGTTGGACCGCAACAATTAACGGGCAGGCCTCCAATTGGCAACGGACTCTTTTGCTGGTTGTTTTGCAACTTGCGCGAGCGCCTAAGAGAAAGAGAGAGAGAGAGAGGAAGAGTGTGGGGAATATGTAGTGACCCAGTTCTTATTGATTATGAGGTGTAGATAGCATACAGTGCAGAGAGTTGCCAATAGGAATAGAAAAATGGGTTTCATGTGCGACAACTCAATTTAAAGCGCCGCCCTCACTCACCTGCTGGCTGCAATGAAGACAATCACAGCGACAATGATGGTGCCACAAATGGCGGCACTTGCTGCAATCGTTATCTTATCCATGTTTGAGGTCTGGGAGGCGACAGTGCGCACCTCGCGGCACTGCTGATAGGGCACCGTTTCGGGCGTGACATGCAGCTCCTCGAGCGATATGACGCACACGATGATGCATTCCTGGGCGGGCACGTTCTTGATCTTGAACTCACGCTCGCTGGCCTCCAGCGGCGGGCCCTGCTTGAAGGCCTTCTCGCCAAACAGGCGATAGACGACCCGAAAGCCGAGTATGTTGGCCGTCTCCGAGTCCCATTGGATGATAACGGAGCTGTCCTGGCGGAAGGCATGCTTCACCTGCACCTCGTTGACATCGTCGATCCGTGTGCCACGCTGCGGCGGATAGCCGAGCACCAGTGGCGGTCGCTGCGGCTTGTGCTGACTGCCATTCGCATTCGCATTCACGCCGCCGCCCTGACGCCAGCCCGGTGCCTGTTTACCTGGGCTCGAGTGCGATGTGGAGGAGCTGCTGCTCGTCGAGGAAATGGCCGTCGCCTGGACGCTGCCGGTGCCATTGACGCCCACGGTGGGCAACACCTTGTTGGCCTTTGTGGCAGCTGTGCTCGGTGGCTGAGTCTGTGTGTGGCATGTGTGGGGCGAAAGAAGCGTTTGAAATGTGGTTGCATAAATCAACATGGGAACAAACATTAATATGGTGGTTACATCTACATTCCTTTGTTCAAATGGTCGATTTTCAAAGGATATGTGGATCAATTACAATCAATCTTACCCACATTAGAAGACCACGTTTATTATTCATTTCATTATTCATAGTTTTCACTTTTTCATCTTCAACTCAACACCATTCTGAATACTAATTTTATATCACATTCCCTAATCGTCTATGCTATCCATTATTTAATTTAAATTGACCATTAAATTTGACGTATCATGTAGTTGAACTATTAATTAATAATTACTTTTAAT